TTTTTTTAGTCTTTTGGGGATTGAACCCAGGCCCTTCACACTGAGCTACAGCCAAACCTTTGTACTTATTTTTCTGAGATAGAGTCTTAACTAAGTCACTAAATTGTACAGGATGGCTTGAACTTGCAATTCTCCTGCCTCAGCCTCCTAGATTTGGGGAGTACTAACCTGGATGACTGGTTGCTCTTCAATATACAACGCCCACCTTGAACGTCATAGTTTCTTGGCTAAGAAGTGTATAGTTTATACTCCAAGCCTAAACCTATTTTATATTTTGCAAGTCAAAATACAGAGACAGGGCAGGGGACACGGCTCATTAAGATTGCTCATCTAGCACACACAAGGCCCTGGTTTCAGTTCTCAGCATTGAGGGAAGAAAAAGGCAGTGGGACCAAGTATTAGTAGGAGGACTTGGGGAAACCCGAGCAGTGTAGCCCTGGGAAGGTGCCAGCTTTCCCTCTTAAGTGCCTGTAGGCCAAGCTGTCTGGAACTCCATCTGGCTGTATTAGCTTTTGGGTTTTTTTGTTTTGTTTTTTTGAGAGAGTCTCGCTGTGGAGTTCAGGATGGCCTTGAGCTCACTTTGTAGCCCAGGCTGGTCTCAATTTGCAACAATCCTCCTGCCTCAGCCTCCCAAGTGCTAGGATTACAGGTGTGCGCCACCACGCCCAGCCTATATTTTTTGCTTATTTGATCAAACTGTACTTCTTAACAGTTCACCTTTATTTAGATGTTGCCTATTGTGTTTCCAAAATGTCTACAGCAATGCTAGTATTTCTTAATACTGACACTTAAGGTACTACTCAAGGCCCGACGCAGAAAATGCCATGCGTTTCATCAACGGAACTCGTCTGGATGACAGGATCATTCGCACAGACTGGGACGCTGGGTTCAAGGAGGGCAGGCAGTACGGGCGTGGGCGATCTGGAGGCCAGGTATGCAGGAAGGGTCGCTGGGCTGAGCCTTTGCCTGGGATTGTAGGCACAATGGGTATTCCGTCAGTTTGTAAATACTGGTTAACTTTTTGCCCACAACCCTGGTGAAAATCACTCACTGGTTTGAGAAACTGTACTTGAAACCTTGAGACAGTATATTCTGTACATTTCTACACAGAACTGTTAATTGGGTTTCTGCTAGAGCTAGGTGTTTGCCACCAGCACAAGTGTTTAGAACAAGGCAAAATGCACTGGAATGACTTAAAGGGCCGCTAGGTATGTCCTGTTGGAACGCTCACTTGGCGTGAGATGTGGCTGTTGGATGTGGTTGTGGGAGGCTCACGCACTGCACCAGTCTCTAGGCTACAGCTTTGTGTTCTCTCCCATTAAGGTTCGCGATGAGTATCGGCAGGACTATGACGCCGGAAGAGGGGGCTATGGTAAACTGGCACAAAAGCAGTGAGTGGCGAGAGCCCTGTCAGTGCAGAGATGTCCTCCTTCAAGCCATTTTCTGAACACCAGATCAGAGTGTGTTCCTTGTGGCTGGGAATGGGGTTCAGTAGTACAGCAAAAGAAATGTGTTCCTCAGCAGCAGATTTGGTCTATGATGGGAATTAAATCTGTCAGCCCAAAATACCATACTTCTAGGAAGACGAAAAATGTAAAAATTTATTTTCTGATGCTTGAGTCTAAGGAGGCTCATGATCTACACTAGGACTTGGAATGATTTTTTTTTTTTTTTTTAAATTTGAAGTTTGCATGATGTAAGGTTAAGATAAAATGGGCCAGGGATATAGTTCAGTGGCGTAAGTGCCTGCCTGGCAAGTGCAAGGTCCCGAGTTCTATTCTGGTACCAAAAAAAAAAAAAATGAGAGTTTTGCTGTTACACAGCTTTACTGTAAATTAGAAGGAAATGTCTGACAACTGGATTTGTTTTCTGCGTTGAATTCTAATCTCTAAAGGCAAACTTGGATCTTCCTAAATACGTGGCACAAAAGCCTGAGGTCTCAGAGGACCCTCCCCACTTCTGTGCTTTACTTTCAGAAAACAAGATACAGGACTTGAGTTCTGCTAAATACTTTTTTCAAAAGATGTGATGTTTTGCCTAAAGCTAAAAAGAAAAAGTCTAACACAGAGACACTCGAAGTATTTATTTTGCATTTGTAAAGCATGAGATGATTTATGTGGGAGTATAATTTTTCCTAATTAGGAAAAATACAAAGTGTTTTCATCTAGCAACAGAATATCCTCTAACATCCAGTAGTTTGTAAAGGCTGTGGCTGGAGGGCTCTCCTGTGAGCGTCCTTCACGTTACAAGACAGGGTGGTTTTCTCATTGAATTCCAAACTGGTTGTTGGAATTTTTAAAAAGCTGTCAACAGTTGTGAAATAGGAATAAACCATTTGCAGACATTTAATGAGGATACACTATTCATTTGTAAACATTTGTTTTTATTCTGTAATTTGAACTAATGTAATTTGTATTCTTCTGTAGTAAGATATAACTCGGATTTCTAAAGGCCTTAAAACCAAAGATGCTGGTTCTTATTTAAATTGTCTTTTGTAACAGATTACAATAAAGTTGGACCAACTCATTGTCTCTGCTGTCCTGTGTATTTCCTCACCTATGAAGGATGCATCCTTATTCAGGGTTGTAAATGAGTCTGGGGGAGAACCTATGAGTAACGTGCAGCATTTATGTATCTGCGTCAGTCTGACATTGGCAACGGTTATGGCTTCACGTGAAGGAGCTTGGATGGTCTTCTGAAAGTGATGAAAGATGCACCAGGCAGCGACTCATGGAAGATAAGTTACCTCTCCAGAACACATACACTGTAGATGATGGAGGGGAGGGAGGTGGGGTTGAATTAGGGGACCTCATGTTTCTTTCGCCTAAGGATGCTAAACATGACTTTCATTGCACCCTCATTCTGTGTTTCTCAGGAGCAGCGTCTGACTTCTCTCCCACCTTAATCAAAGTATAATCATAGGCATGTGCCTTAGCTAAGACTCATAGTGGGTGAAGCATCAGATCTAGCCAGAATGGGATGTGTAGAATTACTGCATCCTGAAATACTAGTTAAAGTGTAAAATTTGAGACTTTAATGAAGAGGTCTGCCACCAATAAATATGGTTGCCACTCACTATCTGTAGCTATTTAAGAAACACTAAACATTCAACTTGGCACTCACCACAATTTGAAGTGGTCCACAGACACATGGTTAGTGGCTGCTGTAGTGAATGCAAATGCAGAACATTTCTATCATTTCAGAAAGTATGGTTTAGCTGAGCGTGGTGGCACATGCCTGTAATCCCAGCACTCGGGAGGCTGAGGCAAGAGGATCATTGCAAGTTTGAGATCAGCTCGGGCTACAAAGTGAGCTCAAGGCCAGCCTGAACTGCATAGCAAGACTATCTCACAAAGACAAAAAAACAAAGTATGGTTGGACAGTGCTGCTCTAAGGACCGGTGGCTTAGTCCCTGTATGGTCTCTTCCTAGATGAGCCTTTGTGACTGTCACTGGGAAAGCACACAACTCACCAAGCAGTCCATGAATGGGACTCAACACGAGAGAACACAAATTTAAAAAGGCATTTAGTTTATTCTTCAAAAAAATACTTTGCTAGGAGGGTTGAGTACTGTAATTTTACATGATCATAACCTTTAAATAAATTCTTTTTCTGACCAACAAGTACCATTTAAGTGAACAACTTGTCTAGGTCTGTTTTTGTAACACCCAAATACAATTAGCACTTCTCAATGGTATTCCTTAGGTCTTATCTACAGGCCAGAGGGCAGCGCCTAGCATATACCTAAGTATGTGCTTTATGACAGCTGATTAACTTGGTTTCTTAATAAGATTAAGCACAGCAGGTAACTGTTTTTTGTCATTCATTGTTCCTCACCGGAAGGATCATGACCCACCCAGACGCCCCCATCACTCCTAACCCAGGGAAGCAGTGAACCTCAACTGCACAGAAGGGCATCTCAGATTAGGCAGGTGCTGGCCGTGTCCCAGTTAGTTCTGTTATTTTGTTCCAACTATAAATTCAAAATGACCATGTTACTCCTACTCCTACTAAGTAGAAAATACAATGCCAAGCTGAAAACATGATGGAAGTATGGCAGCAGCTACTTCTCTTCCCCTCCTTAAAGAGGGTAAATGAAAGCCGATTCTCTATGATTCTTGAGAAAACTAAAAGATGAATTAATCTACAATCATTGCTATAGAGTCAACAAAAGGAAAGACCACTACTAAGACTGCCGGGAAGAGGCTGGGGCATCTTGAAGGCTCGTCACCAACAGCTTTTCATCTGTGCGTGGCCCGCCTGACACCACAGACACACAGTCTGCCTCCCTGCAGCGCACCCACGCTTCATTCAGGGCCAAGCTCCGGCCAGGAAAGAAGCGCGTCACTTCTCTCTCACCAACTGCCCAGAGTATATTTCAAAAGTGTTCCAAGGAAGTAACTGCTGCAAACGTCGGGATAAGACTTTCTAATCTAGGACTTGAGCTAAACAAAGATTTATGCCTAATCACAAGGAGAGGGAAAAGCAACTGTATGTGCCAAAACCAAGTTTCACAAATGACACAAATGGTTTTAAAGAAAACAGTAGCCACCGTTTTAGGCTAACCATGCTAGGCGCTGCACCCCAGAGCACCCCATTACACTGGACCTGAGCAGCTGGACTTGGACAGCTCACGGCAGATCTCTAAGCTCGTCCCTGTGTCTCACTGCGGAGTGAGGCCCCGTCCTCAGCTTAAAAGGCAGCGACCTGAGCTCTGGGCATTACGATTTGTTCAGGAGGGCTGGAGACATGGCTGAATGGGAGAGCACTTGCCTGGCTCTTGGAGCCCTGGGTTCAATCACCAACACCACCAAAAAAAAACCAAACCAAAAAAAAAGACTCTTGCAGAAACAATCCTTCCTGACTCTGCGTCACGAGTCTGTCCCAGGAAGTGGCATACACTTCCTCACTCTGAAGGAAAAGACATTTTGAACCAAAAGACATTTTCAGTCAGTAGCCTCAACACTGGCTACTTTGATACAGGCACTACAAAAAGGCAAATGTCTCACATACAAATTGTGAACAATCTCATATTTGCAAATTATGCTTGAAAACTTCTAAGAAGACATCTTCCCCATTCTGACGTGTCATCTTTCCTAACAGTGACACACAACCTTACCTGTAGCAGCATAAAATGCCCCTGCTCCCAGGTTTTTAATGACCTGACACACAGTTAAGAAATACTGACCTCCTGCTAAGGAGTCTGAGTCCGGAGGACGCAGGAGCGGAAGGGCAGGGCTGCACTGCTGGTGTTGAGTCCCCACATCAACCTGGTCTGACTCCCCACTCAGTTGGTGGCAGGCAGTCTTGTCTCACCAGACCCATGGTCAAGTTACAGCTTGTTTTTTCAGCACTTCAAAACTACCCAAGCAAAAGTTCAAGTGTCTTCTGCCATTTGCTTGTTCTTTTCTGAATAAGCCTCTCAGTTTCTTACATATAGATTTTCCTCCCCCAGATCAGAAAAGATATTTGGGTAAGTTACTTCCTTTCCTTTCAAATATGTCGCAAAAGACCATGCATGGCACACACCTGTAATCCCATAATCCCAGCACTTGGGAGGCTGAGGCAGGAGGATCGCCACAAATTCGAGGCCAGCCTGGGCTACATAGTGAACTCAAGGCCAGCCTGAACTACACAGCAAGACCCTATCTCCAAAAAAAAAAAAAAAAAAAAGTCACAAAAGGCCAGATTACAAGTAAAGATCCATTACTTTCATCCTAATGCAGCTAAGTATAAGGACGGGTCATTTTGTGACCTGTCCAGAAGACAAATTTCAGTAGAAAGGAGAAAGCAACTCCTGTGTTAGAGTATCAGGACTGGGTGAGCAGAAGCCACACAAGCCCTGCATATTGCTGAGGTCACTACAGAGAGACGAGGAGGGAGACACCTCTAAGACATCTCCCAGGGAACCAAACTGTCCATTACCTCCCTTTCTCTCTGCTCCTCTGTGAAAGACATGGTCAGACTACAATTTTGAATTCTGTATTTCAGAGATAGAAATGTAGTTGGGAAATTCTAATTTCTTCCACATGAAAGGGCACATAAGGGAAATGACAACTTGCAAATTACTTCTAGAAAGGCTGAATTCTCGTTTGTTTGACCACTAGTGTGATAGCGGCTAAATTTTTTCACAAGTCAAAAACAAAAATTCAGTGTCCCAGCAAGGGCCTTTAAGAGCTTTAGGCCACGGACTGTAATTCCCCAGACCAAGACTAAAAGCCCATCTGTTAGGTCACTGGCACCCAGGATGCTGCCTTCTACTCAGACTCTGACTCTCCCCACAGCAGGCGCTGTGCTGCCAGGGCCCTCCGTGGGCGAGCAGCCACCCTTTCACAGCTACCTCCACACCCCTCCAAGGGAAGCAGCCAGAGGTGCTCAGGCAAAGTAAACAGGACTGGCTCTGTGGACCACGCCTCGCTACCCTTTATGCCCCAAGAAGCACCTACTACTCTGAGTTATGCTGTATCAAAAACATCTTGCATCTTTAGGTTCTGGAATTAAAAGTTAAACCTGTATTCAGTTCACATCTAACTAAGTTTCAAAAGTTGCACCAAATCTACTAGGCTTTTTTTTAATACTCTTCACTGCATGCTCTGTCTATATGCATGCGTTTGGATAATAAATATTAAATATGGGAGGGACACACGGAATCCACAAAATTAAGAATGAAACCAAAATGAACATTAAAAAAGTACATGGTAGCTGGAGAAATGAATAAGGGCAGAAATAAATTTGAGGTAACAACAGTGGCCCAATACCACTGATCTGAAATATCTGTAAAAATCCAAATAAGTGGAGGTTCAAGTAACAAACCATCTGCTCCAACATGGTCAGGCTTTGCAAGTCCTCGCCAACTTCAGTCCAGGAGCCGGCACTCACACAGCTCCTTGTAGATCCGCTTGCGCACGCGCGGCATGTCTTCTTGCGAAAACTGGAAAGGCTGCTCCAAGGCGAGGCACTTGCAGTACTGCAAAGGTCCCAGAAATACATCAGTGGCACATGGGGTTGTGCACCAGCCAGCACCAGAGGCAGAGGCAGAGCCCACAGTCTAAGGCAGCATTACAAGGTCTGTGCAAAAAACAGTGTTTTAAAGCGTTCACCTCCAGATTAGTTAGCTTTGCAGCAAGTGGATGGCAAGGCACTGTCCTCCCTAGCTCCTTCCTGACACCATGCTGCAGAAGGCAGCAACTGGGAAGAGGCTCCGTCCCCGACAAAGTACAGCCTGCTGCTGGCAATGCAGCTGGAGCTGGCGTGAATCTGCCCACAAACCCCAACGTTCGTGAGATTTGTAAATGAGCCCATCCCTCTCAGGTCTTGGCATAGCTCTTGTAGACCTACCAGGGGACCTTCCGCATGATGGGGTAATCTTTGAATGTGGTACTTATTGAAAATCTCATTATGCAAAGACTTGCAGGCTGTCTGCAGATAGTCTTTTTTTTAAAAAAAAGGTTAATTCTGCCAGTGCCAAGGGCCTGCGATACAGACACATGCAAGTCCCTCTCCACTGTCATTTGGCTTGCAAATCACCTGATAAAACACATATGATACTCATTGTTCATCCTTGGCCAGGGGAGCTGGTTCTTCCTAGAGACCACTGGGAAGATCAGAACTGCACCTCAGCAACGAGGGACAGCAGCAGCAGGAGAGCGTTCTGCCGCCTGGACCTGGTGTCAGTGCACATACGGGGACTGTCTCCCCCCTGAGCCCAACAAACAATTCATACAGTGCAAATTCCAAAAAAAACACATCTTTACCTGGAGCACAAAGACTCCACAGTCACTGTCATTTTTCTGTTGTGGAATACACTGAGAGGAAAAACAAAATGGCCATTAAAATAAGATCAAGTACTGCTCTTAAACTGCTATTGTGTGTGTGTGGTGCTCGGCATCAGACCCAAGGATCTCATACATGCTGGGCAAGAGCTCTGCCAGTGAGCTACATCCTGTTTTACTGAGAAGTGAGCAAGAGATAGGAAACTTGTCAAAAAGAGCTGCTACACACCTGTGGTATCCTTTTTCTTTTTTGCACTGCTAGAGATTGAACCCAGGGCCTCTGTACTGAGCTGCATCCCAACCCTCCTTTTTTAAAAATCTGAGACAGTGGTGCCACACATCTATAATCCCAGCACTCAGAAGACTGAGGCAGGAGGATCGCCATGAGTTCTAGGCCAGCCTGTGCTACACAGTTAGTTCAAGGCCAGCCTGAACTATACAGCGACATCCTGTCTCAAAAGAACCAAAATAAATAAAGTAAGGTTCGGACAAAGTCCCTAGGTTGTCCAGCCTGCGCTCAAATTTGCCATCCTTCTGCCTCAGCCTCCCAGTATGCTGGGACTACAGGTGTGTACCATCACCCCCAGAACCTCTGGTAATTTAAGCGTGTGATTTTATGGAGGCATCTGGCTACATTAAAAGAGCTATCAAGTTGCAATCACATTTTGTAGAACATTTTCCCTAAATATGAGAAACAGGAATCAAGTTAAAAAAACTTTTCTTTTTTTTGTTTTTGTTTATTTGTTTTTTGAGACAGGGTCTCACTCTATGGTCTAGTCTGGCCTTGAACTCCTATTTTTTGTTTTGTTTTGTGTTTTGGTACCAGCAATCAAACTCATGACCTCAAGCTTGCCAGGCAAGCGCTTATGCTGCTGAGCTACATCCCCAGCTGAACTCCTATTTTTAAAACATCCATTTGGATAATTAGTTTTGCTGTCAATTCACTGACAGTGGAATCAAACTGAACTGCGGCTCAGAGAACACGTGCCTGGGTCCAAGCACTGCGACAGTACAACTCTGTTTGGCAGCCTTCGCCCCCTCATCACAGGTGTTACAACGCTGTCTTGTTCCCTGCAAGAAGTGAGGAAGGCTCAGCATGGTGGTCATGCCTGTAACCCCAGTATCTGGGAGGCTGAGGGAAGAGAAGCACTACAAGTGTGAGGCCAGCCAGGGCTACAAAGCAAGACTGTCTCAAAAATCAAAGCCAAAAAGCACCCATAAAGGTCAATAGTATGTTTCCAAAAGAACCAGCTACTGTATTCTGCCTAAAGTGGGAATATGAAAGGTCCTGACTAAATGTAGAATACGTACCTAGATAGTCTAGTTGGGTAAATTCACAAAATTTACAAGTTCAATGCTGGCTTGAACTAGTATAGCAGGCTATTAGAAACACAAAAGTTTAGATTAATTTTAAAAGTTAGTATTTGAGTAAACTAATAAATTAGTCTGTAAGGATAAACTAATCTTGTTCATTTGGGTTTGGGTTAAAGGTTTATTCCAGGACTTGGCCTATATTGGGTTCAAGGACCTGCCTCTACCAATACTTCTGATGCCCTTGGGGAAAGGTCGCATCTTGGCTTCAGTTTTTCTCAGCTACAAAATAAAAATGCTGCTCACCCCTAAACGACCACCTCCTTCCCAGGTTCTAAGGGCCAAATGGAATCAAATAGTCATTTTAGCATTTCTCTCAGTCTGCCTGGATCATATGGAAATAGATCCACAGGAAAAGAGGGAAAAGCCAAGCCCCTAGCCAACTGTTTTACACTCAAGCAACCATATCCTTAGCAGCTGCCCCAGGGATGAAAAGGCTCCGGTGTCTGCTCCTAGCAAGCACAGGAAACTGAGCTGCCAGGGGAGAGAACACTAAACAGGATTATTCTCAGCCGCCTCTGAAGAGCCTGCTCCAGTTCTCCTTGGTCACTGTCACCAGCCCTCAGCCCCCACCCCTTGGATCACTCCCCTCCCTGGATATCCCGAGTCCCACATGTGCCTCAGACTTACCTTCGTAACAGCAGTCTGCCAACCCTGAAGAAATTCAGGTCTGTTTTTTTCTCTGGCTTCAGTCAGCAAATACTTTCTTATATTCTGGTTTAAAAGAAACCACAACACAGATGCTCTGTTCCATCAGTTGGTGAAAATATGGAACCTGCCCACAGCAGATAGAAGCAGAGGCGGCGGCTATGGCCACAAGCATAGGGCAGAGCATGCATTGAAGAGTTAGGTTAGAGTTAGTTCCACTGAAGCTGGAACCTTATTCCTGAGCTTTCATTTCATACAGTTAAGGAAGACTCAGCTCCTTTGCATTCAAGGTGTGAACGCAGACTGTGGACACCACTGTTTGTTTTACTCAGCATGTCCTATGAGGTGGTTAGCCACTTTCCCCAGCAGTGAGTCACTTTACATACAGGCAAGGCAGAAAGAGTCTGAATCACTGCCAATGCTCAGCAGAGGACAGGAACCCACAGCATGTAGCAAAACTAAGTAACAAAACTAAGGGAGAAGCTCTGAGGTGTAGCCGGGCATGGTGGCGCACACCTGTAATCCCAGCACTGGGGAAGCTGAGGCAGGAGGATCGTTGTGAGT